CCCCGGGAGCTCACTGTGTCACCCCTCCTCTGCAGCTGGCCAGAGACCACACCCACGCCACACTCAGAAACTTGTTTGCTTGGATTTTTCCGTGTTTTTAGCCTGCTTTGCTTAAACCCTGTTACCCCATTTGCAGTTTACATTCAGCCAAAACATGTGTTAAATTTTGTTTAGATTTAGTGTTTCAGTGTTTCAACTGTACTTCCCCTCATGTGGTGTGAGCACTTTGAGTAGCTACACTGAAACAAGTGCTTAAAATAGTGGTTTGGGTTTCTGACAACAGTGGTTTGATTTGCATAATGTACCCAAAGGTCTAAAGGAAAGAAAATAAAGATTTCCTTTTTGCTTTTAGGGACCCGAGCTGGCGCAACGAGGAATCTCATACTGAGCGATCCCGCACAGGAAGCGAGTCTTCACAGCAAGGAAGCACTTCTGGAAGAGGTGGGATGTTTCTTCACTTGCTTCCTTTCTTCTTCTCGATCTCTCCTTCGTCTTTGTCCTACTTGGGACTGAAACACTGCCTTCTCCCACTAGGGTCACGGTGTCGAGATAGCGAGCGCTCCGGTGAGAATGAGGTATTCAGCGGGGTAGAAGGTGGCTCCACTTCCCCTGGGTCCTCATCCCGGCCCCCCTCCACCAGCTCTTCTAAAGAGCCATTGAAGGTGATGCCTGCACCTCCTCCCAAGGAGAATGCATGGGCCAAGAGAAGTGCAGCCAGCACAGGCTCTAATGAGGGCGATGGTCGAGCTCCGATCTCCCCGGTCTCCCCAGGCGGTTCAGCTCCTCCCAAGTTCAGGTGAGCACTCACTGAATGAAGCCTGCAATGTTTAAATTCTGCTCTTGAATGAATGAATGAGTAGATTGTAGTAGATTGAGTAATTGATACTCTGAATTCCCTACAGCCTTAATATACTTTGCCTTGACTGTTCCTCCTTTCCTTTTAGCTCCTCAAGTTCTGCAGATGAAAGAGGATCTGGAAAGGGTAAGTGCTAAACACAGTGGGATTTCCCCCACTCCGAAAACAAGTTACCAGGGTGTCTCCATCGATTACCTAATGAAGAAATCTTAAAAAAGCACAATCTGACTGAAGAAGTGAAGCAGAAACAGTATATTGCATGTCTTAATTGAATACAGTGAGTAATCCATCTCATTCCATGCTGGAAAAGTAAACCTACTTTGTCACACACTTGCGTTTGGTTAGGTCTTCCAGTCAACGAGGTGATATTAGGAGTTGTGTTTTGAGTTTCCTGTCCCCTTTGACTTCTTGTCTGGCTCCTCTCGACATCATCAGTGTATGGTGCACTTAATCAGCTTCAGCTGTATTTGCCCATCTGTGCTCTGAGAAACAAAAAAAGCACAAAAAAACAGCTGAAGCATTTGCACGTGCTTATAGAGTACATCTTGTAAGTACTGGCGCCTGAAAGGTGATGACAGAGTGATTTTTCAAATCCTTGAGTGGTCCAGGAAAAAGAGCTGGGAACTTCTTTTTTTGTTTGTTTTTTTTGTTTGTTTGTTTGTTTCTGTAGACTGTGAAAAGCACAAGATTCTCAGAAAAAGGAAGTGGAATAGTTCAGGACTTCATTTGTTGTCGTGCAAATGCTTTGTTCATGCATTTAGCAGATTTCCTTAGAAAGTGTTTCATCGATTCGCTTGCTCACTTACCATATGTGGTGTGCAGCTTTTATCTGTGCTTTCCACACTTACTAGAAATCGTGTTGAACGCATTTGTCAAAGAGTCTTGCTAGGAGCGGGTCCTGCTCAGAACGTGCATGCCGAAACACTACAAGAACAATAGTATCTTCATGGCTGTGGTGCCACAAGGTGGCTCTCACCCTTTTTTCAAAAGTTTTGGAACCTTTTGGCACATTTTGCAAGCCGGCATCAGATTTCTCAGAGGCCCGTTCTTGTAGTGGGGGCAGTTGTGCACCTCTCATTTGGCCCTATATCAGTGACTAACACATTTTGAATCCAACCAAAGTAGCTGTTTATGCTGCAGTGCGTTGAGAGTGTAGTCTACTGTACACCGTCCACCAAGCCCCCCTTGACTCAACTGTCTGGCTTCTTCTTTAAGATGAGAACAAGGCTGATGGTGTGCGTCGGGACCGGGGGCCCCCACGAGCACGAGGGGGGCCTGCAGGGCCTGGAGCTGGGCGGGGGCGAGGAGAGGGGCCCAACAGAGACCGAAGGAAGGAGGCAGACAGGTTAGCAACTGCAAAGTTCTTAATGAGACAGGGAGGATATTTTTCAGGCATCTGTGCTCGGGTTACACAACTGATGGTGCTTTGTGGTTTGTTTTTTTATTTTTATTTTTTGTGGGTCACTGGGAAGACAGGGTTTCCTGGTGTGCACATGAATGCTTTATCTGTGCTACACCAAATCATCATGATCCCCCATATTGTAGCACAAGAAATAATTCATGTCAGAACTACATGAATCAGAACTGAAATTTCTGAAATGGCTGTTAATCTTCAGAAAATGAAAATGAGCAGATTCCTCTTTATTTATTCACCTGTGGCCATTAAAGGTTTCGCAACTAGTTTTTTAGTGCAGATACTTCCTAACGTCAGCATTCACTCTGACCTTTAGAAAGGACAACAGAAGAGACCGAGACTCCAGACCACCCCCAGAGCCAAAGAAATACGAAGAGACCCCAACCCCCGTAAGTCCTGTTGCTCAGCCACATCAAAATCTGTGCAAAGTTGCACTGTGCTGTCAAAGTACTGATTAGTTTTCTTATTTTGTTGCAGAAGTTCAGCTCAGCCAGTAAGTACGCCGCTTTGCTAATGGATGGTGACCAAGGAGAAGACGCAGATGACGCCGATTAGAGGGAAAACAACGAGATACAGAGAAAGCGATGAATGCAAGAAGAAAAAAATAATAATCTCACATAGCGTATGGGAAAAAAAAATCTCCTCACATGGATGTGGCTCCTGGGAAGGGAGGGTGAATCATCACCCCTCTCTGTTTTCCTCTTACAAACCTGTCCTTTAATTTCAAACCATTCACCCATCCCTCCTCCCCCTGCTCCACCTTCAGGACTCTTCAGGTTCTAAAGAATAGTCACATACTGGACTTGTTTTAAATGGAACAGAGGAATACATGACACATGAAAACGTGATGGATAAGATTGAATTAATTGTAATAAATAAATGGAAAAAGTGGGGAAAAATGATTTTTGTATATTTGTGGATCACAGGCGCATCTAATGACTGAAGATGGAGCTTATAAACGTGTTTTGGTTTTTTTTTCTCTCTCCTTTATTGACTTTTTAGAAATGCAAAACATCATTACAAGCCCTTCTGTATACGTTATTAAATAATTTGATGTTATAAGAGTATTTTAAAAAATATACAAGTGTACTGCTGAAATTTGAAAATCCCGTCTTCCAGTACTCATTATCATGAGCATTGAGACAAAACCTGCTAATTTAACGATTTTTCCAATCATGTGATTCACCATTCAACAAATAAGTTGGTCGACGGTGTTAACAAAAGGATTCCCAAACATATTTTTGCAGGATTTATATTTTCACAGTTGCAGGGAAGGAAGGAAGAAAGAAAAAAGCCACCACACAATTTTATCTTGAGAATCAATTAAGTGCCATTATTACAATCCCCATCATTGTACAGATGTCCCTCTGTTTCTATACCTTAGAATTAGACCAGTTAAATGCTCATGGTACTCCAGTATCCAGTCAAGTTAACAGATCTGTGTAAATCATTCATTGCCCCTGAAGGAGTACTAATCTACGGAGAAAGGGTGGATTTGCTTGGGGGGGGGAGTGTTCATGAGGTTATATGAACCTGTCTTCCAATTTGTAATAAATTGGGGTCATCATGTGAAATCAAAAAGTATGGTTATTAAAGTTCTAATGTGGGAAAATGCAACTCCTCCCTGCTGCCTTTTGTTATGCTGAGTGGGCAGCACATACTCTCGTGACACCTACGGGATTTACCATCACCCGTGAAAACACGGTTGTCTATATGCCGAGTTGCTTCAACCAACTTTCTGCTCTCCCGGTGTGGTCTGTGAGGCATAAGATTTCCTCAGTGTTTCTTCAGACTCGGGGCCCCCTGCTGAGGCCCCGGCTCCTGGTGGCAGCTGGTTAGGATCCTGCTGAGCTTTACACCCACCCACCCTCCTCCACACACAGAAGGTGCGCATTTTAATGCAAGAAGGGATTTCTTCAAAGCAAACCATTCTTTGCAGCGGATATCGGAAAGAATACTGATTGACACCAAGGGTGTGTGTTTAGGCACGTGCAAATTATGTCTTTTAAATATTTATGAGGTAAAAATAGTGGCCATGATGTAGCAATGCCAAAGCTGGGAAGCAGACATGGAAAACAAGGCAGGCGTTTGTGTGTGTGCATGAACACAATCCACATTACTTCAATCATGATAAAGCCTAGATAAGAAAGAATTACAGAGAAAAAATCCTGGGTTCGAATCGGGACGTCCTCCCTGTGACTGTGTGGGTTGTCTCCAGGTACTCCGGCTTTCTCCCACAGTCCCAAGAGATGCTTATCAGATTAAATAGTGATTCTAAATTGGCCATAGATGTGAACATTTGTGTAAAAGCCATGTGACCGATCAACAGCCTATTCAGGGTGTACATCCCACCCCCCACCAATGACAGCTGGGATAGGCTTACAGCATTGGACAGTATGATTTCTGTGTTTTACATTTGAGAACTATAAGGAGAAGCGTCATTTTCCTCTTTAAAGGTCATCCATGGATTCAGGTTTCACATACAAAATGTGACTTCTAAAATATTAAACATTGATTTCAATCAATAATCATTCATATTTATAAAGCGCTTAATAGTGCACCAGCTGCACCATGAGATTAATGCTTAAGCATGCATCCTTCAGAGGCAGGGTCTCAAACTATATAGATGTGAATAAATATGATGCAATTTGGCCCTTGAAGTTAGTTCTTTTGTTTGTTGTTGAAGGCAATTTTAAAATAAATTGTTTAAAAAGCAAAAAAATGATTTAATGTGAGGGTAATATGAGCAGAGAGCACAAACATGTTGAGGGATTGTCTGTGTTAGCTCAGTGAGATAGTTACTTGTAAAGAAAACATTTTTCACTAGCAGTCAAAAACTAATGTGTACACTTAGTCTGCATTTTTATTTAAATACGAACAAAATGATAGCAGAAGTGCCGCCACATGTCTGGCCAGAAAGAGAGGACTAATGTCTCTATTTGGTAGCTCAATGAAAGGCTTCAGTTAGTTAAGAGTGAGGAAAAAAAATTGCCTTCACGTTTGTAGTTTTGTCCTGTTGTACAATATTTGTAATTTTAAAGAAACAAACAAAACTCTACATTTTCAGAAATATTTGCAGGTGTTTTCTTGTTTGTTTGTTTTGTACTACTTGAACACTAAAGTGGTCCTCCAATGAGATGAGAGTGCAGCTCATTTAAGTTTGAGACCCCTGATTTAGATCAAACACTTTTTGTAATAGTGTTATTTTAATTGTCTCTCAGCCATAAAAGCCTGATGTGGTATTGTCGTCACCCCGCCGGGACATCCAAATTTGTGAATGTGACAACTTCAGAACAAGGCGATGTAGGATTTTGAAACTTATACAATATGTGCGTCTACTAAAAATCTCGGTCGAGTTTGAATATCAGTGTCCTCGACCTTAAGGTCAAAGGTCACGTTTTCTGAAAATCTTGTGAACACATCAAGAAAGATGATACCATAGGTGCGTCAACTGGGAGAGTGACGGGTAGCATATTATTTATATAAACTGCAGTGCTGTTCCTTTTACTTGGGTAAAGATCTGAGTGCCCTTTCACTGTGGTACTCTGTTTCAGTGAAAACAGTTTTAACATGAACATTGGGGAAAACAGTGTTTTTTACAATAACCTGTCCTGTTGAGCAGTTTTAGCGAGCAGAATCATGGTCTGAGTGCTTTGTTGTGCTGAGAGGGGGAAGACAGAATATCAACCAAAAGTTAAAATGTTTTAAATGTATTTACATGTCACTGAGTGAAATATAGGTGAGTGAAATTGAAATGACCATCAGACACCCTTGATCTGGAGCTCTGTGCAAGATCTTAGCTCATGGAGCTAATGGTGGATCAGTCCAAAACTTGGAACTTGATCTGAAGGCAGCTGGAACCACAGTCACCACTGGTAAAACTCTACATTGTTATAGACTGAAATCTTGGTATGGTCCCCCTTCTCAAGAAGGCAGTTGTACAGGTTCATCTTAAGTTTGCTAATGAGCATCTAAATCATTCAGGAAAGATTTGGGAGAAAGTGCAGTTGGTCGAAGGCAAATGCTGAGTATGATCTAAAGAACACCATCCTTTACAGGCAAGCACAGAGATGTTCTTCTCTGCATTGAGGGGTCAGTGAACAGGGCTACTGTAAAATCCTCCTTCCTTCAGTCAGAACACTGAAGATGGCATCAAAGGAGTGGCTAAAGAGGAAGCACATTAAGGTCATGGAGTGGCCTAGCCAGTCTCCAGACTTCAGTCCGATAGAAAATCTGTGGCAGAAACTGAAGCTTCGAGCTGCCAAGTTTCTGTAAAAAGGACTGGACCAAACTCCCTCCTGAGATTGTGCAAACCTGGTGACCAACTACAAGAAAGATCACACCAACAAGGATTTCTCCACCAAGTACTAAATTATCAAATACTGATTTCACTCAGTGACATGCATCTGTTTATAACCTTTGTGTAATGTGTGTTTTTCTGGGTTATTGGTTGATATTCAGTATCTCCCATGATAGTGGTATGGTAGTTTCATAACATGAAACTACCATAGAAGTCAAAGCACGTTCATTTCTTTGAAAGCGAGCAAACTTACAAATAGGTCAAGTAGGTGATCAAATACTTGTTTCCCCCACTGTATCCACACATAACCAGCCCCCACACCTGTCGCCATGACAGTTAAGAGGATGGCACACACAGGAGGGTCCTCCATACCCTTTTCCACTTCACACCACAAAATGACAGAGGTTCATGTCCACATGTTAAGTTTTCAAAGAAAGCTGCCTTGATTTCATCTGAATTTATAGCATACAGATTTTAACCTCTCACTATCCCTGATTTCTTCTTACTGCTGCTGTAGATGCTGATGATTTGATGCCCAATTTAGCTCCCGGCCTCAGATTTGTCTCACATTTAAACCAAAGACTGCTTTGTACAGCCTAACCAAGCCCTAAAAATGTGGCTTTAAAAAGAGTTTATTGTTGAAGCTTTTCCCCTCCCAACTGCAAAAACCCCCAGATTGAAGCAGTATTTTGTCTGGGGAGCCCAGTTTGAAGATTACAGTTGTGTGTGTGTGCTACAGAAAGAGAGAGAGAAAGAGAGAGCTGTAGTCTGGAGGAATTTAACGGGTAGCGGGACACAGATCTAAAATTTAAGCACAGAGTGTGTCATTGTTTTAATTTCAGTGGAGAGAGAGAGCTGCATCCAAGTGAGGAAATAAAGCGAGGTCAGTGATGATGTCATTTGTCCTGTCAAACAGGGAGGTGAAGCTGATTATGTTTTAGGCTACATAAACGCCCATGGGACACGCCGAGATAGAAGACTTTTTCTTGAAACAATGCGGAGAGGGAGAAGAGTGATCAGTGCTATCAAGCCAGCAGTTAAGTTCTCATGAGCAAAGCCACAGAGACCAGAAGGATGACATGTGTGAAAGAGGTTCAAACTAATCACTCTCCCATGAGGAAGAGGAGCGTGAGAGGAGCTGCAGTAAAGCCAAAGCATAAGGGAAGGGCTTGACATCAACAAGCCAAAACAGCTGCCCCCTTCTCCCGCACAGCAAGGGAGGGAGGGAGAGAGAGACAGGGAAGACTGGAGGGTCTGTAAGTGTAGAGCACAAGACATTTGAGGGTCTGTAAGCTGGAGAGAAGGAGTTATTAGCAAGTGGAAACGGTGGAGGGGGGCGGGAGGGAAGAGAGAGGCGAGTGAGTGTATGCCTGTATGTTTTCAGAGTGAAGATAGTCAGAGAGCAAGGGACGCAGGGGGAGTGTAAGGGGATGTGGGTTGAAGGGTAGGTTCTTGGTGACAGAGGGAGAAAGAGCGGTTGTAAGAAGAGAAGTCAGGGGGTGGAAAGTTATCTGGGGTGGGTTTCGAGGCAGGGTAAGCCGTTAGAGGCGAAGAGCAGAGGTGTGAGGAGTCGCTGAGAAGGACGGAGGAACATGCTGGAGAACAAGAAGAGAGAAAACATGAAGTGCTGAAAGGGGTGGAAGAGAAGAGGAAATCACTCGCGAGGAGCTGAGGAAATTTAAAGATTAGAGGTGCAAGAGGCGTGTTTGCTGCAAGAATGGGGTGCATTCACAGTACGAGAACTGTGGGGATACAAAAGCACGGACATGACTTAGAAACTGGAGGAATCCCTGTGAAGGCAGACCCTGAGGTACCTCCTGAAATCCTTCAGCTCGCTGAGGTAAGTGAGTAACCATCAACACGCTGGTCGTGCACAGTTCCATCCTCAAACGTGTGCAGTTTGAAGATAAACACAAAGTGAAATCACAGGTCATTACAGATCAGCTGTTAAAGTCAGTTTGAAACACTCTAGCTCTCACTTTACATCCACAGCGCCCGCTCGATCTGCTTTGCCATTTGACTCAGCAGCAGAGGCTGAACTTATACACTCATCACATGCTTGATAACAACCAAAGGAATCCAAAGAATTGCCACTGTGTTTCCAAATTAGACGAGGCCTGGACTCCAGAGCTGCTCTGTCTCTCTTATGAAATATTCCAGCAGCACATCATAAACAGAAGTGTGCATACCGAAGGGATCAAAGTGTTTGGCATGTTCCTTTTAGACCTCTGTTAGAAGCTTGTGAGCTAAGAAAGCTAATAAACTGTAAACTAAAACCACAGTCATCAACAGTGAACCTAGAAAAAAAGGGG